CGACTGTGCATCTTAGAATGACCTTGAACTCCTGATCCTCCTAGCTCTATCTCCTAAGTGCTGCATTGTAGGCAGTGTTGAATACCCAGCCCAGGACTTCATGGGCAAATACTCTATTAATTCAGCTGTAGCCACAGCCCCTCAATTCCAGCCCCTGAGGACAACAGCACTCAAAAGACTCTGACAGAGAAAAGTACCTGCTAAGCCACTCTACTTCCTGTCCCAATGAGACACCTCATCATGTAGTAAATGCCCTCCTTTTTCTGATTTTATTCTTTTCAACTGCTAGGGTTTTCTGAGGGAGAAATGAGATAGAACCTCTTTACAGAGCTAGATTTTTTTTGAAAAATATTATATCACATAATCTTATTTACCTATAACTCTTACCAGAAGCCCCACTCCATACCGTGGATAATTTGTATAGTTATGCCTTCTAATCTGTAAGTAAGATACTGAACTCGCTTTGTTTACCACAGGTATGCATCAGTTCAGAGCACCTGTGAGGCTTCTCTGTCTTGTTTTCTGAAGCTGGTAAGAGCAGATGAAGAAAACTCTGATGCTCTCTCGAGTAGTTGTGTGCATTAGTCATCTCCTGTAGAAACAGATCTCACACCCCCAAGCCATGCCCATCAGAACCTCTCTCTCTGACAACTTCCTAAACACAGAAGACAAGCAGATCAGGAAGCAGACCAGTTGGAGATGTGGGGTCCATTCCTCCCATTCTACTCAACTCTTGACCCTGACCTGAAAACTTTGTCCTCTGTTTTGATGGGAGATGTACTCCTGAATTTCATCTGGCAAATTCCACATCTACAGCATCACCAATATCATAAAAAGTACTCCCCATATACAAACACCCTCCAAATTCATGGAAAGATGCCAGCTCTGACCTTAAAGTCACCCCAAAGCCTGAATGGCAGGGATCTCATTCAATAGTATTAAAGAGCAACTGGCCAAGTCTAAAAACAAATACATGTACTTCTCTCATGGTTGCCCATCCCCCTTTTTGCCCGTGTCTGGTACCACTTAGTTTGGGTTTGAATGGACATCCGAGTATCTCAAAAGCCAAAATGTAAGACCCTCTGGTGTTCTGCGTACAGATGAAAGCCGACGTCCATTTGTAAAGCATCAAACAGGATTAGGAAAATGTGGGCTGTGTGTTGCTAAATGTTGCCTAGCAATGTGGTTAGGGTACAGGAATCACAGAGAAGATAAAATTTACACCCACGAGGAAATCATCATATTCAGACACACACACACTGATTTCTCTGAGACAATGGTCTAAACTTTGAGGACAGAGTTACTGTGACAAGGGAAACAAGTTTCAAAGCATTACAGAACAAACATTCCAGGTGACTATCTATATTTCAAGGTCTATGTGAGCCTATGACTCAAAGGAAAAGGTCTTTGTGCCTATGAGTCAAAAACAGCATCCCACACATAAGTCCTCATCAACATAAGCAAAGTTACTTTTTAAAAGAATGAATATAACAATATTTAAAATTCTAGGAAGAAGTATTTAATACACAAAGCAACTTCAACCTATTAATCCTTAGTGTAAATAGTTGTCTGCCTGCCTTCCTGCCTTTCTTCCTTCCCTGTCTTCCTGTGCAGATGACTGGACACAGGGCCCACATACCCTGCAACTGAGCTGTACGCCAGTCTTTGATTTTCATAAGGTCTTAGTGTAACGACATACAACATGATCATCAAAGTCAGACCCCTGAGAGTTGGGGAGATAGCTCAGCCAGTAATGAGCTTGCATCATAGTCATGAGTTCAACCCCAACATCCACATAAAAAGCTGTTCATGGTGACAGGCACTCGTAACCCCAGCAATAAGGAATCTTGGATCTGTAGGACCACCCACCCTAGCCAGCCTACTTGGTGAAACCCAAGTCCCAGTAAGAGACTCTGTCTCATAGAAACAAGACATTTAATGACATGTGGGGTAGGAGGCACGTGAGTTTGACTCCGACTCCTATATGCACAAGCACACACATATGCTTGCACGCCCACACCCGACATCACCCATGCACATTTGGTTTCAGACTCTTAGTCTGTCATCAGCCTTTGCCTCTGAGTGTTCGTATCATACAGGGATGGAGCAGTTAGCAGAAGAACTTGTGGCTTCTAATCTTTCACCTCACCTAAAGGAAAAGTGACAGTCCACCCTGTAACCAGCCTGGCAGTACATGCTAGAGTCACTTGTGTCTCTCAGCTGACGATCAGACTACTGAAACAGTGGACCAAAGAAACAGGTTTCCCTGAGGCACCACATGCTTAGAGAGAGAAGAGTCTAGACAAAGGAAGGAACTGTCTCTAGAAAGATTTGACACACTTCTAACAACGTGTCAGGCTACCCTGAAGGATGAGACTGAAGTCCTAATAGTCATGGGCCAGTGGCGGGTGTAGCCTCACCTCCACTGGGACTGCTTAGATGTGCATATCCACGGCCATCTATTTGATCTCTTTTCAGAACAGAAGACAAACTCAGGGTGGTGGTGGGGTGAAAGGGGGGGTTCAATGGATTCCTTTGTCCCACTTTCCACTGTGGCCACGTTGAATTTTTCTGCCTTTTACTATTTGACTATTTTAATTGTTTTCTTGAGGATGAGTGGCTGAACCCGGCTTTCTGGAGTATAAACTGTGATCCCAAGTTGAGTAGCAACCCTCCTCTTTCTTCTGGCCCATCATGAGTGTGTCATGCTGAAGGAAATGCCCACTGGCCAAGTGCAGTCCCAGCTCTAGGCAACCCTACCCGCACTATTCATCCTTATACCCTGCCTCTCCTTAGGTTCACAAGCCTAAGACCCTTCCCCATCTTCCAGTGGATGCTGGAAAGGTTCTGAGCTCTTGAGCAGGGCTGTGGTTCCCCCACTCCTTTCCCAAGCTGAACTGGCTGAACTTTCCCACGGAGAACTGGCAGGTAAGAGCAGGTGGTGACAATGGCTGGCGCTTCTGCTTGACCTGAGAGTTCTGGTTCATTTCTGAAGACTAAGGTTGGAAAAAAGGTCAGGAGGGTTGAGAAGACAGTCATGAGAGAGGGCAAGTGAAGATTGGACAGCTAGAGAGGTGACATGCATGCCTGACTAGGGGAAGGTAGCTATGTGCATACTTGACTAAGGAGAAAAACGCATGTGAATGCCCAATTAGGGCAAAAATAGCTGCATGCTTACCTTGCTAATCAAAAGAGGAGTGATGAGCTAGGCTGTAGGTCAGTGGTAGAGCATGTGCCAAGCTCTACACATAGGGCCCCGGGTTCAATTTCCACCAAAGAATAGCAAAGGTGAGAAAAATGTAGTTTATATTTAAAAATCCAATGTCAGCCAAGAAATAATTTTTTCAGAGTTTTTTTTTTTTTTTTTTTCATAATGTAACTTTACTTAGATGAATTTTGTGAAGGGTTCCCCCTCTCCACAGCTGTTTTGGTCAGATGTAAATGACAAGTGTTCTTAATAGTAGTTTAAAAGGCTACATTTGCCAGAAGTGGTGGGGCATACCTTTAGTCCCAAACTCTCTGAGTTTGATGCCAGCCTGGTCTACACCACCAAATCTGGTCCAGCCAGGACTACATAGTGATATGTTGTCTGAACAAACAAACACACACAAATCAAATAAAACATTTAAGTATTTTATTTCCTGAGACAAGAAAAAAAAATGACTTTTGACTTTTAAGAATCCTTGAGGCAGTGGTGGCATACACCTTTAATCCCAGCACTCAGGAGGCAGAGGCAGGTGGATCTCTGAGTTCAAAGCCAGCACGGACTACAGGCCGAGTTCCACAACAGCCAGGTCTATACAGAAAAACCTTGTCTGGAACCACCCCCTCCAGAAAAGGAATCCTTGAAATAACATTAGGTTAGAAGTAGAAAAAAAGATCTATCTATATTAAAAATGTAAAAGTATGTTCTTAGAAACAAACTGAAAAGGTAAACCATATGAGAAAGATTGCAAATGCTACTGAAGGTCATAAAGACTTGGACAAATTGAAGGACTTAAGTGACTTTTAGACAAAACGAATCAACTACGATGGTGTCAGCCCTTCCCAAATTAATCTCCCAATTTAATAATTAAGCTTTTAAAAAATGATATAAAGTCAAACCAGTTGAGGTGATGAACACCTGTAATCCCAGCACACAGGAGGTGAGACTGGTGGACCAGGAGAGTTTGAGGTCATCGATACCTAGCAAGCTAGTGGCCTGCCTAAGCTACACAAGACCCTGTGTCAAGCAAAAAAAAAAAAAAAAAAAAAAACAAAAAACAAAAAAAAAACATGTATGTTCATTAGAACGTTAATATGGGAAAATGAGCAAGACCAGACAAAGAAATCACGAGAAAGAAATGGGCTCCCAGAAAAAGCTGTACTAAATAGGATACACTTTTTTTCTGAATATATAATTATCTTCTTACAGAATTATTTTATGTGTCTGTGTGGGGGTATGCCCACACCTGTGTGCAGGTGCAGTCCAGAGGCGAGTGTCAGATCTCCTGGAGATGAAGTTTTAACGAGCAACAAGTACTCTCAAGTGCCGAGCCAGCCTGCTGAATGTACAATTTTCTACTGTGGCTTTTCCAGGTGAGACCTGGAGCCAGGTAGGTAGCATTTCAAGATGGCCTCCATATTCGCTGAAGTCTTATTAGAACTCAGCCAAGTTCCGCTGTTCATGCGTGATGCATGGGTGCTTCATGTGAGTTCAGAGCAGGTGAGAACCTACAATCTGGACCGTCAGTTCCTCCGCATGGGGTGTTTGCCAACCCCTGGCTTAAACCATGTTGTGCCGAGTCTGCTGCGGGTCCAGAGTGTTCTCTTCGTTATGGACAGGAACTGGGAATACAATCAGACTATTATTCCCTTGAGTACTTTACATCATAGAAAATCTTCAAAGGGCCATTTTCCTGCTGGTTTTGAAGAAGTGAGATGTCTTATTAGGCCAGTGGAAGACACAGAATCTGAGGACTCTCGAAAGCTGCAAACTGTCCCATCATGACAGCTAGCCAGAAAAAAAAAAAAAGAAAAAAAAAATCAGAGACTTCTGTCCTCTATCTAGAGGAACCCAAAATCTGCCAGCAAGCACAGGAGTCTGGATGGGCCGCCTGAGCTTTATTAGCGAATAAAGGCTGTGGCACCTCAGTGGTAGTAGCCTTGTGAGATCCTGAGTGGAGGATCCCGAGACTTGTCTGTTATAGGTTGCCAGGCAGAAGGTATCTAGGCATATTCGCCTCATGATGCCCAGCTTAGGAAGTAAACTAAATTTGTCAGGAGGCCACTGGAGAAAATGTCCTTGCTCCTAAAAATGAAACATGAGAAACTCCTGTGTCTTTTGGACCCTGTTTGTGAAGGGTGTGTTGTGTGGAGAGCTGTGGGCATCTCATCCTGGAGGTCTCAAAACCAAAGCCACAGAGTACACAGAACAGGGCAGAGGGAAAGACGTCAGATCTTGAATGAAGCCGTGGTGCTGCAGGATTGGCCAGGCCCTGGACCTTTTTGTTACTTGTTTAAAAGGAAAAACAAAATTGCTTGCTCAAAAGGGAGGTTTGTTTTGTGAATAAAATTTTATTAGAACACTTGTCCATATACTGTCTATGGCTACTTTCATGATACAAAACAGGGTCAAACAGAGAAAATGAGATTCCACATGACATCCACACCTACCATCTTTCCAAGTTCTTTCTCTGTCAGCTATGGGTGATAGCTTGCATTTATTCATACTGAACCCTACATTTCCAACATCTATGCCTGTACGCTTTCACATCACTGTTGTTCACTCCCTCTTTTGTTAAGTTATTATTTTTATGTGTATGGGTACTTTGCTTGCATATGTGTCTGTGTTCCACAGGCATGCCTGGCCAACAGAAGAGTCAACAGAAGAGGGCATTAGATCTGCTGGAACTGGAGTCAGCGATGGTTGTAAGCTCCCATGTGAATGCTGAGAATCAAAGCCTGGTCTTCTGGAAGAACGGCCAGTGCTCTTAACCACTGAGCTATGTCTCCAGTCCTACATTTTACCAGCTTTACACAGATTTGCGCATGCTTATTGTGGTCTCATATCTTCTTTATATTAACACTGTTTAAGGACTCATCCGTAAGTCCTCGTTTAAAGGTATTTTTAGATTCGTCTTACCAGCAGCTAAAAAACAGACATCCGATGTTGGTCTCTTTCAGTCTGATAAACAGTGCAAAATGCTAACCCATACCTAGAAACTGATGCTATTATTCCATTTGGGTCATAATACAAAAAGTACCATATACTGGAAGACCTTGAAACAGACTTATCTTTCCTCCCTTTGTGGAAGGCTTGGAAGTTAGGGAACAATGTGCTGGCAGATTCTGAGTCTGGAAATGCTCATTCCCCTGGTTCAGAGACAATGGTCACCTTGCTGTGTCCTCAAAGGACAGAAGTGATGAACCTACTCTGTCAGCTTCTTTTAAGAGGACACTGGTCTCGTTGGTGGGGCTTCTACCTTTACACCCTAGGCAGCTTTCAAAGTTCCCAACTCCTGTCATCATCGTCGTCGTCGTCATCATCATCATCATCATCATCATCATCATCATCATCATCACCATCACCTTAAAGGTTGGGATTTCAATGTAGGAATTTTCTGGTGATGGGACACAAACATATACCCATAGGAAAGATAGGTGAATGTGTGTGTGAGCACGTGTGTGTGCACTCAAGTTCATATGTATGCCAGGGCTCATATGATGTCACCTCAGGTGACATCTATCTTTCAAAAACATTAATGTGTGTATGTGGTGTACATGTGTGTGTGTGTGTGTGTGTGTGTGTATGTGTGTGTGTGTGTGTGTGTGTGAGAGAGAGAGAGAGAGAGAGAGAGAGAGACTATGGGTATGATTGGGTATGGTGGGAATCAGAAAACGACTTGGCATTTTCACCTTCAACCACATGATTTCTGGAGACTGAAGCCAAGTCATCAGGCTCTGTCTGCTGCAAGCGACTTTACCCACTGAGCCACCTGGACAGCCCTCACCTTGTTTTTGTCTTGTGAGATGGGGTTCTTTCATTGGCCTGAGGCTCACTCACCTACTATGTTAGCCGGGCTAGCCAGTGAGCCCAGGGATCCACCTGTTTCTACTTCCCCAGCTCAGGGGCTATAAGCACAGGCTACCGAACTTGGCTTTTTACAGGATTCTAGGGAATTGAACTCACAACCATCTGTAACTCCAGTTCTAGGGGATCTAACGCCCTCTTCTGCCTTCTGCATACACTGGGCATGCATATGGCACACATCCAGACATGCAGGTGAAACAGCCATACACAGAGAGTAAAAATAAAAATAAAAATAAAAATCAGAGATATACATGAAGACAGACAGGCCACCAAGTTGTTCTCAAGCAAAGACACATTTGCACCTAAGAAGGCATTCCTGGCTTTTAGACCTTAGTATGTCTGAGAATTCCAGCCTGTGCTCCAGGCACAGTGTGATGGTACATCAAGCTTTTCTCCCCCCTCCCTTTGATTGTTTGAGACAGACTCTCATGTAGCCCAGGCTGGCCTCAAACTTCTTATGTGTGTAGCTCAGGGTGACTTTGAAGTTCTGATCCCCCTGCCTTCACTTCTTGAGTGCCACCACCACAACTGGTTTTACATAATTCGGAAGGATTCCCCCCCCCCCAGGCTTCTAACATGCTAGGCAAGCGCTCTACCCACTGAGCCACATCTCCAGTGCTGTTTTGTGCTTCCCTTAGAGATTTTAGTGTCTCCCTCAGCTGTGCGCAGCCAATGGCAAAGCCCATGCGAAGACTTGACGGCGGAGCGACCCTTCCGGGTGTAGACCCTGTCACAGAGGAAGGCACAGAACAGAATTCTTCGCTCTGCGTTCTCAGCACTGAGTGATACGCGGAACTGGGCAGATTATCCACAGCTTTGGAGGAATGAACATGTGATCTCATGGTCCAGGAAAGTGCTGTTGCCCATTAGTAATAGCAACAACAACAACAATCCTAACTACTAACAAGGTTGGCATACTAACAGCTAATCTATAATCCCAGCACTCAGGACACCAAAAAATGAGGACTCAGTTCAGAGGAAGGAGAGGAGCAGGGAGGAGAGAGAGGGAGACACACACACACACACACACACACACACACACACACACACAGAGGTCATTGACTGGTAGATTATGAATGCTTTCTCAGCAGTCTTCGAAATTTGCGTCATTTATCAGTAATCATTTGAGGGTTGGCCAGATGGCTCAGCAGGTAAGGGCACTTCCTGTACCAGCCTGGCAACCCAGGTTTAATCTCCAGGACTACCCAAACAGAGGAAGAAGGCTGTCCTCAGGCCTCCACCGGGGCGCCATGGCAGGGGTGCACATTCCCACAGACAGCAGTTATAAATACATTGTGAAAAGAATAATTTGACTTGTAAAGCTCTTATGTTCTGGTTTTAATTCTGATAATCTCATTTTCCCCATTTAAAAAAAAAAAAAAACTATTGAGAGGGATGAGAATTTTCTCCCTTCGGTGTCCAGAACATGCTGAGACGCTTGTACAGACAGACTTTAGGCAAATGGATGCTGTTCCCATTTTGTAGCAGAGGAAACTGAGACAGTGAGCAGGGGAAGCTGCACCATTTACTGAGGCAGGGACAAATTCAGAAGCAGAAGGCTGCCTTTCTGGCACCCTCACAGGATGTTTGCGCTGCTGTCAAAGAGACCTTTCAAGAATTCCGAAGAATAGATTGAGACTCATGCTCTATTTGCTAACGGTGACGGCACAGATTAACATTGTTCATAGATTTATAGCTGAGAGCCACTGATTAAATGATCCGCCTACAAGATGAGGTTCCTTTTTTCAGAGATTGAAGTGAAATACATCCATGTTGCTCCTGAGACTTCGATTACATCCATCGAACACCAAGGAAAGATGAGAACCCTTGTTCTTCTCACACCTAGCGCAGTCTCCTCCTAGGACATGTTCCCCACTTTTCGGTCTTGCAGTGAGGTATAGCTACTACAGGGACTCAGGAGAGGGACCTTACTTGCTGTGTCCACAATGGAACTCTCTGCTCTAGTTCTCTGACCTCTCTCCACCCTGTTTTCCTAATCCTTCAAAATCTCTTATCTTCAAGGTTGATCTTAAAAATACCTCCCTAGGAAGCCACTCCCCATTACCCCACCCCACCTCTGGCTCTCTTCCTTTGAACCCTTTATCTAGCACCATCTTCCTCCACCTCTTGCTCACTGGTCTCATGTCCTTTCCAGCCCCTTAGGAGAGGGATGGTTTTACTCACCTTTGCAATATCTGACAAGGCAAACCCAGTGCCCTCTCCAAAGGGACACTGCAGGTTTGTTTTGCTGCAAAGGATAAGACAATATTTTAGACATTATTGCCCTCAAGTGAGTTCTGTGGATTCTTCATGGTCCTTTAAAAATATAGGAGCCATTCTTAGCTCCCAGGACAGATGGAGGATTGATCCCCAGTGTTACAAGAAGAAAATTGCAGCATGTATCACAGATAGATTTTTTTAATATTGTTATTATTTTAAATTATGTGTTCAGGGTTATGTGTGTGTGTGTGTGTGTGTGTGTGTGTGTGTGTGTGTGTGTGGTCTGTGTATGGGTTTGTAATGCAAGTAAGTACAGGTTTGCCAAGAGGCTAGAGGTGATGGATCCCCCTGGAGCTGATTGTGAGCTACCTGACACAGGTGCTGGGAACTAAACATGGTCTATCCTCCTGGAGGGCAGTGGTTCAACCACTGAACCATCTCTCTAGGTCAACCTGGATAGATTAGATTTTTTTTTTAAACTCCTTTTTTTTTTTTTTTTGCTTCTAAGAGGATTTTCTTTAAAATTACACAAAGTAGTATCTGTATTAATTTTGTTTCAAGTATAAAAATGGGAGATGGTTCAGAGGTTAAAGGAATGTACTGTTCTGTTCTTATAAAACAAACTCCTAGACCACAATCACCTGTAATTCTAGCTCCAGGGGACCTGATACCTCCACAGGCAGCCCACGTGCAAACACACACACACACACACACACACACACACACACACACACACACACA